CATCTATCTATCCGTCTATCTATCCGTCTATCTATCCATCTATCTATCCATCTATATATCCATCTATCTATCCATCTATCTATCCGTCTATCTATCCGTCTATCTATCCATCTATCTATCCATCTATCTATCCATCTATCTATCCATCTATCTATCCATCTATCTATCTATCCATCTATCTATCCATCTATCCATCTATCCATCTTTCTATCCATCTATCCATCTTTCTATCCATCTGTCTGTCCATCTATCCATCTATCCATCTATCTGTCCATCTGTCCATCTGTCCATCTATCTGTCCATCTGTCTGTCCATCTGTCTGTCTGTCTGTCTGTCTGTCTGTCTGTCTGTCTGTCTGTCTGTCTGTCTGTATCAACGACAGTTTCATCATCATCTCCAAAATCCACATCACCACTGCTACCAGTTTCCTTGTCTTCCCCTTTCCCCTACCGAACAAACGACCATGGAAGCAAGGGAAACAACTCATTTTGACTTCTGCTCTCCCAGATCCCCCTGGCGATGGACGTTGCCTACCATGCAGTCGCCTTTGAGCCTATCATCGAGAACAAGGACGTCGTTCATCACATGCTTCTGTTTGGTTGTGAGAAATCCGTTTCTGAAGTGAGCTGTTCCATTTTTGTTTTGTTTAGCAAGTTTATGATTCGGAATATTGTCTTAGAGCACTATAATGTTTAGTGTTTCTTGGGGTTTGTTTTTTTTTTTTTAGTCTCGTAAACTCTCTCGAGATGCATAAGATGGACGTCATTTACCATGCTCAAGGACCTTGATTTTGCAGATCATAGACCACTTCAATCACATAAACATGATCACGTAGATGACAACAGTAGCAGAAATGGTGGGACTGAGAATAAATACAAGGAAAGCTAAGATCAAGAGTTAATCCCACAGAATGCAGTCTTTGAGAGTTACATTAAAAAAAATCTCTATAGCCCGGCCATAAATATGGTCTAATGACTGAACGCGGTTTCTGGGACCTCTCCACATGTGATCCTCATCCACATAGTGGCACTTTGTGTCATCTGGTGTTTATCGCTTGTGTAATGTCTTGGTGGGGTAAAAGAAGATAGATAGGCTTCTCTATTTAGCCCCACCTTGGCTTTTGTCGGGGGCCCTGAAAGGGGTTTCCTCATCCACATGGTGGCACTTTGTGTCACCGTGTGTTTATCGCTTTGTGTGATGTCCTAGTGGTGTAAATTGACTTACTTACTTCCCCATTTATCAAGGACCCCCATGCTTGTAGCGGTTCCGACAACGTATGCAGAACTTTCCTCGTGCAGTGGTCGATGGGTATACAAGGTCAGATCTGCAGCCACCCGGACACTGGGGTCAGGTTTGGCCAGGATTCTCTGCACTCGCTTTCCTTGCAGATCCACTATAATAATGCCAAACTGGCAGCAGGACTGGCAGGTAGGCAGGGAAAGGGGGTTTGTCTTTAAGTCTCTTTATTTAATTATTTTTCACGTACCGTCTTTTCCCCCAAAAAAATTATATCTTGTAATAATGTTTGCCTTATGACTTGTGTTCAGTGAATATTTTCTTAGGAACAAAAATCTACATTTATTCAAATACAGTGGTGCCTCGGATCACGAACTTAATTCGTTCTCTGACACTGGTCGTAAACCGAAATGTTCGTGAGCAGAAACAGTTTTCCCCATTGAAATCGAGGAGATACAATTGATCCGTTCGCCCACCACATAATCATTGTTTTTGATTTATGTGTGACTAAATAAATAGTATAAAATGTACAGTACTACTTCACCTTTGTGGTTGATAGTTGTTAGTACAGGTAGATGGTAGAGGAGGAGGAGGAGGAGGAAGACCACTCACTTGAACGGAAGTCCTATTCCATAAAAACGCTGGGTAAATGGGTATTTCTAGTATTTTGTCTTTTTTGTTTGTATCATAAAGTCGGCTTAGGGGTTGCAAACCCGCTTCGTAATGCTGGGTTGCCGGGCTCGATCCTAGCTGCAGGTATTGCGCCTTGCGTTGGTTTCGACAGTGGTCGGCAGTTTACGAGAAGCCGAACGCCCAGAAAGCAATGGCAAACTACTAAACGCAAATTTGCCTAGAAAAAAACCACAACAGCGCCCCAAAAAATGCTGGGGTTGGTTCTGCAACGTCCTCTAAAGTATACACAACTATTTTTTTTTTAATCCTGGGAAGTAATTCTAATGCTGGTTCTTGGCTAACAATAATTGTTCTACTTCTTCTAACACTTATGACCTTTGTTTCGTCAACATAGTTACTTCTTTGACCACATCAGCCATCTTTAGCGCAACTTTGTTCTTCAAGAAAGTACAGATGGCAGATTGAGCCATATCCTACTTCTGTGCGAGATCGGAAACACTAACACAATTCTGATATTTATTTATTTCCTCCATGGTTGCTTTTTTTTTTTTTTTTTAACGCTTAGGCTTCTTTACAACAATATCCATAACACTTTTGACTTCCTTGTGAGTCATAGTAAGAATTTAATTTTTTAAAGCATTAAGGAGAACACAACGACAGTGTTCACAGCGCGTAGAGGAAAACATGGCGCCAAAGTCATGTTTGTGCATTCGTGGGCTGAAGCATTCATTATTTGACTCGACACGCAAATAATTTCGGAAATTGTGTTCGTGAGTCGGTTTTTTCGTGACTAAAGGCGTTCGTAATCTGAGATACTACTGCACAAAGTGTTTATATTTGTTCAAGCACTAACGTCAATACTATTATTTATTTGTATTTGTGTACATATTTATCCCTTTTATAACTCAATACATCTTTCGTTCGTGTGTTGCAACGGACAAACGAAATCCATTCAACTGGCAGACAATCTCAACTAAGCCTTATATTTTGGGTAGGGTTTATATTATGAGCATCTTGCAAAATCAAGATAGGGTTTATTTTCTAGTTATATCTTTTTTTTCCCCCCAAGCAATCACGATAGTACAACTGGCACTCAGGGGAGATAATGAGAGAAACTTCAAGCAGAAGTTGTGTTCTTTTAGCATAAGGCCTGCAGTGGCTTCTTGCTTTGGTTCAAATCCACAACTGTCTTAAGTTTTTGTAAACGTCTAGGACTCCCAGGTCGCGTAATTTAAAAGGGGCTCCAGGAAAAAGATGTGAGAGATGAAAGCGTTCGTGTGATTTTGACTAAATCTCTCCACTAAAGATGAATGTTTTTTGTTTTTTTATATACGATTGTCCGCTGTCAAAAAAAGGAATGTAATTTTGTCTTGTTCTTTTGAAGCCCTACCAAGGCTGTGGCCGGGGTACCCTAATATCCCCCTAACGGTTGAATGGAGTTTGTTGGTGCCTGTCCCAGGGTGGTCTTCATCCGAATGGTGGCACTGAGTCACCGGGTGTTTATCGCTCGGTGTGATGTCCTGGAGCGGTTGAACTATAGTCAGTCGAAACGTTTTTACCACTACATTTAATGGCATGAGAAAAGTCCTGTACTTTTCTCCTGTATTGAGTAAAGCAGAATTATCCATGTAATTTGGTCAATATTGTATAGGCGCCTTTTGAACACTGATCATTTCATGGTACTCCCTTTTGACTCCTCCTGTGGAGGAGCGAGAGAGTGTGGTAGTGCAGAAAACAAGTCTATGACACCTCTACCCACACAATCTCCTCCGCTTCAGCCTTTAAAGTGATTGGTTTGATTAGGGCCTCGCAATCCGCAGGGGCCTAACAAAATCTTAACTATCTTCTTACCTGCTATTTTCTTGTAGTATATTTTGAATTCAATTTTCTTTTAATCTATATTATATGTTTTTAAAAGATTATATAAAATAATTTCTGTGATTTTGCAAACACATTCATTATTATGTGTTTTAAAAATGTAAACGAAAATATGTTTTCATTAGCCATATATTTAAAAGGCATATATATTTTATATCAAGTCTAAATCCGACCCTGTAAAAACAAACTGCGTTTTTACTTTAGATTCCCTCCCCCCCTCTCTCTCTCTCTCTCTCTCTCTCTCTCTCTCTCTCTCCCTCCTCCTTAATACCTCCATTCTCTCTCTCTCTCTCTCTCTCTCCTTTCGATATGCTGTACATCTCTTTCATTCCTTCTGTTTCGTACACATAGAAACAGTGAAGATGTTCACACGTATACAGAGAGGGGAGAGAGAGAGAGAGAGAGAGAGAGAGAGAGAGAGAGAGAGAGAGAGAGATTCACTTAAAAGAAACAAATAAATTACATGACGTAATAAACTCATGTGAAAACCTGTTAACACGGTTTCGCTTAAAAAGAAAACTCGGTCAACATAAATACATTGTGGTCCTAGCAGGGATGTATTACTGTTGTCAGTCCCGGTTAGAACGAATTTTTTTTAATACGAACACAGTTTTGGACCTCTTGGAATTCCTGTTAACAAGGTATTTACTGTATTTCACAATCAGATTCGTCTGGCGTGAGAGTATACTATACCACACGTCTGCGCAAGTACGACGCCGGAAATGTCCAGATTGGACAGAATGACCTCCAGATTCCGCCAGGGGTGGCAGCCTTTCCCCAGTACGGCTTCTGCAGCTCGGACTGTACCAATAAGTGGTTGCAGCAACCTATCTACCTCACCCGAGCTCATATTCATATGCACTACGTTGGTAAGGATGACCTTTCTTCTTTGTTAAGTTATGCATCAATGGCTGATGAATTTATGCATGACAAGCCAGATTAGGTATGTCAAGCAAATATGAGACCCGCAAAAAGGAAATATTCTGCAATAACTTTTATCAAATGACTCCAGTTAGATGTCGTATATGGCCTCATGACGACCAGATTTGACCCTCAGTTTAACATGTCTGAGCTAGATGTTGCTAAAGCACCTCTTGCAACTGACCAATGCAGAGACACGAATAGATCATTACGGTATAGGGAGAATAGTAGCTAGGAGTGACCAGTGCATCTAGTCAACAATCTACACTCAGAGAAGAGACAAGACAGACATATAATCAAACTGCTGCTGGCACTTTCGGAATTGGAACTCTGAACTTGCTGAAGACGAGGACATATCGCCTAAGTGAATGCCGAGAATGCTATTATGTCAGTTCTTAGCTCAACACTGGCCCCGTGTTTTTTCGGGATCCCAGTATGGGGAAAACAAGAATAGACCCACGGCCTCCCCAAAAAGCATGTCGGAGTCGACTAACTGAAGGCTTCCTTTGAAGTCGGAGTGTATCTGTCTGAACGGCAGGAAACAACCAAATGCACACAAATAAGCCAGTAAAACGGATATGCATGCAAATCTCGTGCCCTGGCACAAAGCCAAAGTCTAAATAGCGAACAAAGAAGAGTTTTCTCTGGAGCTTACAGTTGGTAAACAAAGCAGAAGAAGAAGAAAAAGAAAAAGAAGAAGAAGAAGAAGAAGATAAAGAAGAAGAAGAAGAAGAAGAAGAAGAAGAAGAAGAAGAAGAAGAAGAAGAAGAAGAAGAAGAAGAAGAAGAAGAAGAAGAAGAAGAAGAAGAAGAAGAAGAAGAAGAAGAAAAAGAAGAAGAAGAAGAAGAAGAAGAAGAAGAAGAAGAAGAAGAAGAAGGAGGAGTAGGAGGAGGAGGAGGAGGAGGAGAAGAAGAAGAAGCTCAACACTCTGTCATCCACCTTTGTGTCGGTCTTTTTGTCTGTTTTCCCCTTTTGAGCTGCCATCCGAAAGCTTGAACACCGCTGCAACGTTAGGAGTCGAATCCTTGACAGCACACCAACAGGCCTAGTAACAGAAAGTCCGTTCTGTGAAGACCCATCTACACCACACCGCGGTAATCCTAGAGATAAGTTCCCAGCCAAGAGCCTGGTCAATGTAGACAGAAATGACGTTTCTTTAGAAGTCGGAGAATATCTGGATGACAGGCGATGAACTAACAGTCTGCACACAAATAAAACCAGATCTGTAAAAGGATGTGTACACATAGCTCAAGTCGTGGAACAAGACCAGAGTTCAGAAGTGGATAAACAGCCAGGACTGTCCACCTGGGTTTACAGTCGGTGAACGCCAAGATGCAAAAGCATCACAGAGCAGGGTACTCACTTACTTACCCTGGCATTCTTGAATGTGATCAGCCATATGTATGTGGAAAGCAAGGGGAGACTTCCACATTTAATATCCTTATAAAATCTAAACTGAAGACATCCTACCATCGAGGGGAGTAGCTCTGTCTTCCTAATGCCGCGACATTTTAATACATTTTATCAAGTTGCAGCCACCCCCCCCCCCCCCCCCCCCCCCACCCACCCTCCTCTTTCCCTACCCAGCCATACGTTTATTGTCCTTGCTACTTTATAACTTAAATGAATATGGTTTTTTTTTTTAATGGTCTTAAACGACCCCTGTGAAACGATCGCTCGACCTACAAAAGGGTCGTGACCCACAGGTTATGAACTGCTGATCTACGGGGAACTTGCTCATAGACAGCCTACTGTCCTGAAAGCTGAGGTATTTAGGTCAATTGGTTGATGACGATGACCACCAAGAAGAAGAACCTTAAAGCGAGAACCAAACGAGCGATAGGCGAGTGTCTTTGCCACTGCGAGTGCACTGATGTTCTTTCCGCCATTCCTTCCTTTAATTAAGTCATTAGTCAATGGACAACCAGATTTGATGTTTCTATAACCCAGGTGACGGAGGTCGGCTGGAGCTTGTTCGCAAGGGACAGACAATTCAAACAATTATAAACGATACTACTACATTCGACTACAACAATCCACCAGCTCACTACTTCAGTGACCCAGTCCAAGTGTTGCCAGGTATGTGACATATAGCCATAGTTACATTCTCAGCGAGATGGACATTACTTGCATCCAATTTCAGGTGATTAGTGATTAGTGATTAGAAAGGATTATCAATCACAGCACTCTGGACAGATCTATAGGGGCTTCGATCTCCTTCTCAAAAGCTCCACAAGTGTAAAACGACTGATGACCCCTGTTCTGTGTTGGTTAATAAAACGTCTTGTCCTCTTAGTGAAATGTTCATTTCTTGCAGCTCCAGGCTGAACTCCCATGTCCATCAGTTTGAACAGGAATACAGAGTCATGTCCTTTGGCGTGCTCCTCGGTACGGTAAGTGCAGCGCATGGCATTGATAACATCACTTCTATCCAGTACTGGACCAGCCATAGCAACCGCAGTGTCAGCAAGATAGTCTGCATGCTCGTTCCCTTGAACACCCGCATAACCTGGCACAAAGATGAAGGTGAGGGCAGCTATTCTGTTTTATTTTTATGTAACAACGGGTGACTCTCGCATGGTTTTCCTGTCTCGCTGCTCTAGTTGGTACACCTAGGGTATGCAGTCTATTCAATTTAAAATCATTTTCCACGAAACTGAAAGCCTCATACCTTTAGTCTCTTGTATGGCATTGATAATGTGTTTCCTGTCAATAGTTCGTCCATTCCTGATAGCCGCACTGTCAGCCTGAGCAACAGCGATCATTAGTCGACTTTTACGGCATGCTTATTAGAGGCGAAACTAGTCTGCCCCCCCCCCCCCCTTTTTTTTT